GCATAGGCAGAATGCAAGACCGGCGTGAGCTCACGTATGAGCCCGAGCACAACGTTGCCGCCAAACAGCCGATTGTGTTTGACCCGAAAAGGGCTCGCGCAAGATTTCGACATGAGCAGCCAGCTAAGTCGTGGGGCCGAGACCTCGGGCTGGCCATGTGGGTTGCTGACGTAAACCACCCTCCGTTAGGCCACGATGGCCATCCGTACCAGCTACCAGTCGAGCCTCCTGGTAACCAACCCAGACACGGGGCGAAAAAAAAAGGTGTTTGGAAGACTTCTTCGGCGTTGGGATTGCCGATGCCACCGGCTTGGGCACCGCGCTCAGCAAGCCGGAGCAACCCTATCCACTTCCTGCCCAGCCGGGGAGCACGGTTTCCGTCATGCAATGCCGCCGGCCAAGCAGATGCGCACCGTGGAAGCTGCGCCTCAGGGTCCGCCCGACGGGCGGTTCTGGGGTATGGTGTTTGCGGCGGACGTGTGGGACCCCCGGTGCAGATCAGAGGATGGATCTCAGAGGATGGATCAATGGGTGGCTGGCACAGCCACTGCTGCCACCGCGTCACAGGACCTTGCGGCTCTCAGTCGCGTCCAATCCGCGCGTTGGGCCGGGGCTGTCAGGTTTCCGCAACCGCCATGGACCCCGGGCATCATCGGCGTCATGTTGACCCACTCGGCGCCGCGGGGCTGACATGGAGGCGCTGCGGGACTTCCACGACATCGACCGCATGTTCGATTCGAGATTGGGCTTGGGTTACGACATGATCTTTTGTCCAACGGCCCAACGTACCACGCGGACGCCATGGTGAGGCACGCGCAAAGGATGCGTCGTGGACAAAGAATTCAGGGGCGGTAGTTGTTTTCATCAGGCCGGACGGCTACGTTGGGCTGGTCACCGCCATTGTCAAGCGACGGGTGGCCGCATATTTGGAGGAATGGAAGTCGTTCAACGATGTTTTTGTATCCCGCGAGTTGACTTGCGCCATGTGGAGATGAGGGGGGGCGTGAGCTCTCTTGACTGGACCCCCTTGCTGTGGAGAGCAGGCACCGTACTACCACGGATCTATGGTTGATGTTTTGCTTGCCCCCTGCCCATGTTCGCAAGGTACTGTAGCCGACAGCACATCTCACTTCCTCGCTTGGCCCTTCGGCAGCAGGATCGAAGTGGATCACAGGGCGCACAGCATGCGTTCGCTGCAGAGCTCCGGTCCCCCACATCTCCCGGGTTGGCTTTCCTGTTTCTTGACGTATGAGGCGCGCAAAGGGCACCGGAGTAACTGCTCCACGTGGAGGCTATTGGCTACCTAGTTGGAGAAGCATAGCCACTATCAAGGCCGCTGCCGCCAGCGACTCCACGTGGCTCCCTTGGCGTGGGACAAGAAGCTGCCCCCCACAAGGCAAGCATCACGAGACACCCCCCAACGGACTGGGGCTCCCCCGCGGCAGCGTGGAGGTTGGGGGTTTTCTCCCCAGGTCACTTGGGCGGCCGTTGCGACGGAGGAGATGATGCAAAGCCCAACGTGGTGATCCCCCCTCCTGCGCGCGCGAATGGGGTAAAAAGACTCTCTTGTCGGCCATTCCGTACGAGTCTCGCTGGCAACGCCACCAAGGCAATGGCAGGGCAAAGAAGTGTGCGCGCCCAAAACAACAAACAAGGTTCGGGTTCTTTGCGCGTGACTTGCAAGACGACAGAGGAGAGGGAGGGAAAAAATGAACGAACGCCTTAACCGCGCAAGATGTTGAGTCCAGCCCTCGACCAACAGTCGGACACCAAGAAATTTGTGCCTTTTCCAATAATGTAGAGACGTCTGGGAGCTGGCTGATTGGCCGCAATTTGAGGGGTTGGGCTGCTATGCTACCATCACACGTGCACAACCACAATGAGCGCAGCACCATCATTCGCAGCGTTTTTTTGTCTCTCCCCCCAGATGTATCAATACGCCCGCGGCATCCCCGAGCTGGGTATTGCGCTTTCAATTGAGTTTAGCTTGCTTTTTCAACCTCACACCTATCTCAGCTCATACATCTCCTCCCATCCTTGCCTGACTCGCGACGCTTCAAGGCGAAAAGGAACACAAAGGTACCAGTAGCAAAATCGTTGGCGCACTCCCTGGCCTATAGGGTCCTGCGTTTAGCAGCACTTGGGGGGTGTCTGGGGGTTTCGCTTTTCATTCCTCATCGCTGCTGGCTCCTTGGCGCTGTCCAAGCCTGCATTGCATGCCTGTACACAGGTAGGTACGTAGGTAGGTACCCAGCACAGCCTACCACCACGCCTGGTTTTCCCCTTTTGGTTAAACACCTGCCACGATGCGCAGCGAGGGCCTTTTACGAGGCGACCATTCGCAAATAATGCCTGTCATCTTTCATGTCGCCCATATCTCTCTCGGTCACCGATTTCGGATCTTGTTGGATTGGAGGTGCGTATCAAATGGTGGGGCTTGATTTTCTTTGGTGGGGTTGGCGGGGGTCCAATCCAATCCTCGATCCTCGCTGCCGGCATGTCCCGAACGTCGTCTCTGGTGGAGGGATGGTCCGGGCCCCAAATAAGGTAACCCCACTATAATGAAATCACCCCTCCCCCACCTTAAATGTCGGTAACATGGATTTATCGATTCTACCCAACACCTCTCAGCCTTTTTTTTGTCACCGACAGGCGCAAGTCATATGCGCAGTCTGGGCTTCAAGTCCAGAAACGTGTTTTTAGCTCCCCAAACTGTATGTCGCACAGCGAAACACCCAATAAATAGCTTGCGCTCCAATCCCCTTTACCAACAAACACCGACGCCTTGGCCCCATTAAGATTTATCCTTACACCATACATGGCACTTTCATCACAGAAATAGCAAGAGCGCTTGCCAACCACGCCCGGAAGAACGCCTCGTCCAGACAAATGAAAGCCTGCAGGGTGCAGCTTGGAAACGATCGAATACTGGCAGTCGGCCCGAAGCTTGGCCGACCTGTCGCCCATGAAGTATTTGTGCTCATTTATTTCTTCGCGGCGGCGGCGGCGGCGGGCGTCGGCGGGTTGCCCGCTGGGAGTCGGCCCGAAAGGTCCTGCAGCAGCGCCGCGGCCCTCTGCTGGTAGTACTCGGCGCGGTCGCGGGCGCCTTCGTTCTGGGCGGCCTCGAAGTTGACGTTTGGCTCAATCAAGCGAGTAATGTCCTCTCTCGGTCTCGGGCTGGGTTCCGGGCCGCTAGCATCGTCGCTATCGTGGGGGCTGCGGGTGGGGGAGGCTGGCGTTAGTCTGATATTCGCGGTGCGGGTCAAAAATCGGGTACTTGGTGCGAGAAGGCGAGGCGCAAAAGTGATGATTAAAATAAAGAATCAAGGGATCATGATACTCACCCGTCCGCAGATCCGGCCTGGGCAGCGGTAGACTGATGGCACCCCATGTCTTCGGTTGGGTGGAGGTTTCCGAACAGGAGGTATGTCGCCAGGTTTTCGAGAAGAACCGATAAAGATGAGGTGACGAGAATATATAGGGGAAATCTAGAGAGTGTCCGGCATGTAGAGCAGCAAGGGAGTCTTGGGCGCCTTTAGGTACCGGTATCCCTGGATCCAAGTCGCTACTCGGAAAGGACGACGAGGTGAAGGATGGAGAGGAACTGCCCGCTTCGAGAGGGAACAAATGCCCAGGGGGAGGAGATCACTCCCCATGGTTTTATATCTATAGGCACCGCGAATAGGCACCGCGAGAAGGCGTTGAGCATTTTTGTCTCGGATTGTCAGACCCAGGGGTACCCAAAGCAAGTTGGTGGCCTGTGGATGACTGCGCTCTCGCTCTGGCTATAGCGCGCTTGTGAGTTTGTGTGGTGAAAAGGTGCCACGTTGATTCACCGGGCGACGTTTACTGCCATGTGTCGATTGCGATGTTTTTTTTTTTCTCCGAGAGGCTCGTTGGCAGGACAAGTACCCTATGACCTCCACCGGAAGACTTGGGATGGCGGCATGGGAGGGGGGTGGTATGGCAGTTACTGTGGTGGGTTCATGCCTAACCTCATTGGTACCGAGCGCTAGCGCCGTCCATTTCACACATACATATACCAGATACCTAGGTTGGTACCTATCGTGGGCCAAAGCCAAGCCAGATTTGGCACTGGCCCGCCTCACTTTTCTTTACAGCCCGACCGCCATCTAGGAAGCGCGCAGCCTGCTACGAAACAGGTGCCTACCCTATGTCTTGCATGGTAGCATAGGTCCTCACTGTGTTTGGTCGCCGTAAGCGGAAAGGGGGCGGCGCCCCGTTTGTCCTTGCCATGCTCTTTTTTTTTTTTTTAGCTTCCCAAGCCACAGGACCGTGCCTCCCTCCCCTTGAACGAGACTAGCGCGTGAGCGGATGGCGGCTCTTTTGTCCACATTGGGCATTCCGTGCTGGCCGACTCCCCACCGCTCTTGGTGAATCGCCGGAGGCCCTGCCAGCGTGGCGTTGCCAGCCCCAGGCATCAAGGCTGGAGGCCTGCGAGAGAGTATGCGGACAAGACATCGATCCACTCACCGAGCTAGTAGCTGACAAACAGGCAGGGCTCAGTGTCCCTCTCTGTTCGTCCCACCTATGCACCTAGGTGGACGGTGCGACCCGAAATTCGTCGCTGACATTGACAGCTGCTAGCCTTTGGGCCCTGTTCGTCGCTGTGGTTGCTGCTGCTTACGACACGTGCGTGCTGTTCTCTCGCCCCCCACTTCGCTGCCTGCAAGGACACATGCGATCTGCATGATGCGTCCCTAGGCGCACTGACAGATGAGGGCTACGATACCAAATCATCCATAACTAGCCTCGCGCGCAGACGTAGCGAAGTCCCAAGGCTAGAGACACAAAAAAAAAGGGGGGGTTTCGATTTGTTGAGTATCATGTCTTGCGGCTCGTTCCTTGCCGCCCGACCGACGCTGATCCCCGGTTGGGCAGCTGTGGAAGCAGGCAGACAGGTAGGCACAAAAGGCCTTCGGAGTCGGCGACAAGGCAGATGGGCACACAAAAAAGGGGCGGTCAAATCAAGGTTGGAAACTCTTGCCAAAAGGAATGCGAAAATAAAGACGGGGAAATGCAAGGGGTCGGAATTGCATATCTGCCATGTTATTTACTCGGGAGTTGGAATGGGTAATATGTACAAGGAATTAAGAATTGCGTAAACGGAGGCAGTTGGTGCCAACCGCACAGCTGAGCTTGCTCGGCTACAGTGCCTTGCATCCCGGCATTAAAGAGAAGCGTCATGTCGTGAAATTTGCAGGGGCCTGTTGTCCCCACGCCAAGCAACAAAACAGCGGCGCACACACAGGCCCATACACCCATACACCCATACACCCACATACCCACATACCCACATACCTACACACCCAAAGGCTACTTCACTCTGCCTTACTGCCGGGCGTAGACCAGGGCGATGCGGTCCATCTCGTCGCCGTCGCTGCCGGCGAAGCCGACGACCTGCCAGCCCGCCGGGGCTGCGTAGTCGAAGCAGTCGCCCTCGCGGTTGCCCGTCTCGACGGTCCTGCCCTTGCTGGTGGTCGCCTTGAGGTAAAAGACGCGCGTGCGGCCGCTGCGCTGCGCCTGGCACATGGTGGTGGCGGTCCAGAACTCGCCGGCGGCCAGGTCGAGGGCGCGCTCGTCGCCGCCGCCGCCGCCGTGGCGCAGCGTCGTGCCGTCGGCCAGCTGCACGCCGACGCTGTCCACGCGCTTGTTCCCGCGCAGGACGATGCGGCTCGTCTTGGGCTTGGGCTGCAGCACCAGGGCCGGCACGTCGCTGTACCAGTTCCCGTGGGGCCCGCCGACGAAGTCGGACTGCTGCAGGCGCTGGGCGGACGAGTAGGCCAGGCGGGCGAAGACGGGGTTGTGGTCCGAGAGGATGTTGCCGTCGGGCTGCAGGAAGCGGGTCGAGTAGTAGCTCCAGGCGGTGGCCTTGAGGTCGAGCAAGGGGGAGCCGCGGAAGAAGATCTTGTCGACCGTCTCGCAAGAGTCGGTGGTGCTGGGGTTGGAGCAGAGCGACTCCTCGGTGGGGGTGACGCCGCCCCGCTGGAGCTCGACCCAGGCGTCCTTGAGCCCCGGGCCGGACGGGTTCTGGCTGCCGATGAGCTCGCGCAGGCCCACGTCGTTGACGCGGCTGTAGCGGCTGTTGGTGTCGCCAAAGACGATGACCGGGTTGCCGACCGAGTTCTTCTGGATGTGGGCGGCCACCTGGCGCATGTTGCTGGTGCGGGCCTTGAGGTCGTCGGGCTCGGTGCCCGCGTCGGTGTGCAGGTTGTACACGTCGGCGTAGACGGCGGCGGACCCTTCGCCGGCGATGCGCACGCGCATAAAGGTGAAGCCCTTGGGCGTCAGGCAGTCGGCGCCCGAGGCGTTGGAGCACACGTCCCACTTGACGCGCTGGAAGTCGGCCCAGGGGAAGTTGGACATGGTGTTGAGGCCGGACCCGAAGGGCACGCCGCCCGTGGTGGCGGTGCGGTGCGGGTGGCTGTTGCCCTCGTACAGCTTGGCGTGGTAGTTGAAGTCCTGTGGCGGGAGAGTTAGAGGGTCTGGACATGGGTCATGGGGACAGGGGTGCTGTTGTTTGTCCGCCACTCACCTCCTGCACGTTGATAATGTCGAGGCCGAGCTCGGAGAACTTTTGTCCGATCAGCCGGGTGTTGACCGACCTGTCGCCGGGCACGTCGTTGCCCTGAAGGATGGCGGGGAGGCCGACGACGTTCATGGACAGCACGCTGAACTCGCCGTTGAAGGCGAGGGCGGTCTGGGTCAGGGCCGAGAGGGCGAGGACGGCGTTGAACTTCATCTTTGCGTCTGGTGGCGAGGAAACCTAGACTTTGACCCTTATTTCTGAGAAAGCTGGTGGAGCTGGTGACTCTGCCTGAAAGCTAGAGATGAAGTTGGGCCGGACACCTGAAGCTTGCGTGTGCTTGAAGTTGGTCTACCTGGGGACTGCCTGAGGAGGAAGCCTGGACCTTGTCCTGGAGGAGCGCGCCACCGTGGTTTTGTAGATCTGTAGATTCACTCTTCGGCCCCCTCCCCCTGCCCTGGCAACGGTAACGCGTCCCCCCTCTTTCCGCACTCTTGTCTGCCGCCAAGCCTTGTGACGAGGCCGATGGAGTCAATGCCGCCCACGAGGCCAACCCACTGGCCACAACGCGGTGGGTCAAAACCGGGATAGCACCCTGGCCGCCCATGCGACCCTATTTCACTCCTTCCCGATTCGGCGAGCTAAACCCTGCATCTGTGGCATTGAACACAGACTTGCAATCTGTGGCGGCGGGGCGGATCTAAATTGGGTGTGGGGAAGCCGCAGTCCTGCATGGATACGCCTATGTGGGTTTCGAATTATTTTGTTCGTGTGTTCGTGATGCCCTCCTAAAAGGCCTGCATATCCATCTCAAAAGGAGGCCCCAATTGTCGGAATCCAAGTAGAGAAAAATTCAAGGGACAGATTCTCCACCACGTGTGGTGAGTGTGCAAACGAATCGCTGGTTGTGATGGAAACAAGGATTCACAGCCTTACCCCCGCACGCGGCTTGTGGGACTCGAGCCAGTTGCCTCAATGGCACACGTGGCTCTGGCGGGGATGCTTGAAGCACGGGGACCCTATCCGTGCGTAAGGTCCCCTTTCCAATTTTGATTAAAATTGTGCAAGGGCCAGTTCTAAATTTCGCATCCGCGATCTGTGACAGGTCGGATCATTTTCACCGCGAGGATGGGAGTAAGCACCAAGTCATTGCATCACGCGAGCCTTGAGTTCCGACGAAGGATTGTCGGTTTTGGCATTCGTTTTGTTGCGTTTTTTATTTTCCGTTGCATTCGTTTCCAAAAATGGGTCTATCTTTGCTCACTTCCATCCCATTTCTCCCAGTTCCAAAGTTGGTTTAATCGGTCGAACTCCATTTCGGCAGCTTTTGCCGGGCTGTTGGACGCGGTGGTACATTTTGTTCCGTTTCAAAAAGACGCCAACCGGATACCGTTGCTAGAGATACCCTCCATGTGTGCGTAGTGTTTACTCTACTTACCCCGTCGCCATCCACCACACACGCCAGCCAAGTTCCAATCGTTCGCGGTCATACCTCCAGTGTTTATCCAGAAGTACCCAAAGTACAGGTACCAAGTCTCATGCACGTGCGACCAAACGGGAGCATTTGGCATTGGACGATGAACAAGGGTGGATCCTTGTGGCTGCCATCTTTTCTACTCGCCCGCCATTCCGGCTCGTGGAACGTAACTGGCTCTAAAACAAAGGGGGCCCTTGTAGGACCTGTCTGGCGATGTCGTCGGATGGCTGGGCGCGACTAGGATCGACAACTTGACTGGTCAGATGACCGACCACCTGGATATCTTCATCATACACGCACGTTTTCCGGTCGCCCGCCATGATGGTCATGCGTGCACACACATGCATATATGACCTGCTTCGCACGAACACGGTGAGGCATTTCGGATTTGGATGCGGCCGGGCGTCGGTGATGTGGCAATGCATGGTTAGCAACACTGGGTCTAGGAGCATCTCTTCCTCACGTTCTACGGGGCGCCCAGTCTATCTTTTCCTGACCGGTTGAGCCCTCAGGGCTAGGGAGCGAGTTCACTGTCCTGCACCGCCGGAACCGAGTTCCTGTTGTCCCCGACTCGGCTGGCCTTCCTGGAGAGTTGGGCCGGGCGGCACGGGGGACTAGTGGTTGCAGCCAGTCAGCGCCACATCGGGCACCTAGAGCCTTTGGCCAGTCAGGTGCCTGCGGGGAGAGATCCCGGGGGATGCAAGGAAGGGCGCTTGCGCAGGGCAGGGTCTTGACGTGTACCACGAGACCGGTTCACGTCGCACAAAACCACGGTGCGCTGGTTTTTCCATGCCGCCCTGCCGCCCTGACACCAGGCGGGTTGGTTTCCGATTCGCCAGAGACTTGAGCGTTTTTTTTTCTTCCCTACCTCTTTGGGTAACGCGACATTGTTCGAGAACGGGTTCCCAAGCCGGCTGGCCATGCACTCGTTGGCTCCCACCGATCATCCCGCCTTGCCACGTCGACCAAGTAGACTCGCGACCTTTTACAGAACAGGCAGAAAAAAAGAACTGAGAGGGCTTTTTTTGAGGTCGCCCACTCACGTGCTTCAGCATGCGTCGTCGGCACTCTGACCAAGGGCGGGCACACCTGAGCCGGCTCCGCGCTAGACCGAAAGAAGCCGACCGTCACGGGCCTTTCATGTGTCGTTTCCTCGCGCCCGACAGCGGCTTGCAGACCCGTCGGGTAGCCTCGCTGCTCTATCAGTGCCCACCACCCAAGTGCGGCAATTCGCGACAGCGCCCCGCGAGGGAGGGCACGCTTCCTTTTTTTTTTTCGGCAGGAAGGACGAGTCCGAAGACAATTTCGCACCCGTTCTCCACAGTGGGACTGAGTGCGGGCGCCCACACCAGCGCCCCGCAAAAGACCTCGTCCCTTGGATGCCCAGATGGAAAACGGCCCCTCCCGGCGGAGCACCCACCGCATGACGCACCAGTTGATGCACCAGTCCCCGCTGCTGGGTAGCCGCCCGACGTCATTGCGCTCGCTCGTGGACCAGTTCAGACGGGAAGCCAAGAGCCGCGCGGGACTCTGCGACTTGGGTCGGCCGGCTCCGGTTCCGTCACTCAAAACTTGCCATTGCAGACACCTCTAGGTGCCTATGCGTCCATCCGCCTCGACGTTGGAACGGCTGCCTGTGACCGGCATGTTATGCCGTGCAGCGGGCTCGGCAACTCTTATTCAGGTGCCGGGGCAGCCAGAATGCAGTTCCCGGAACCGATTAAACTGCCAAGGCGAGCACCCCTTGCCCAAACGCAGGACTCGGGTAAGTCCACCCTGGCCGCCCCGATCCGGCTTTCTAAGCCGGCCATAGCCATCGCGCGCGAGGGGCAGATGGCAAAATCGCCGCTATCGAGGCTCTACGATTGTCGCCGGCGAAAGGCGCCTTGTGACAGTCGGCCGGCGCGCCCTTACCGAGATGCGTCGATCGAGGCGCAGCCTCTGGGCCAGGGGTCGGGTCCGGAACCTCTTCCTATTCGCTAACCGCCATCCGGTGCAACTTCCCTCACCCTCTCTCCCTCCACATATCCCCCAGGACGCGGCTCAGGACGCGGCGACCTTCCCACACACGACGGACGACGCCCGCGCCATGTCTTGGGTCACCAGGTGCGAGTGCATGAAGGCTGAGAGAGCTGCACCACTCGGAGGGCAACTCATGGGCTGCCGGCGAGGCGGCTTAGAGCCTGCCAGCTGGGCGTCGACCACATCTTGTCCGCAACACCAGCCGCGGTCCTCGGGTCTGACGAACAAGGATGTTTCCGTGGCATATCTCTCGTTGGGGTACCTGTTATCTTGCCAGCACGCAGGTCACTGCCACCAAATCCTTCGGGATACCCGCCGCCTCTCCCGCATTCTCCAATGGGACAAGCTGCCGATGATGCATGGGGGAAGCCGGCCATACAGATTCGCGGAATATGACCCGCCCACTCGCCCGGCCGTGGTGGTGCGCGTGCTCCCCGGAGCGACAAGACTGGAATACCACCGCCGAGCGGCATCCGAGAGCGCCATGATCTAAGCCGCACACACTCTTCGTCTGGCGGTGAAGGCTGTCATAGGGGACATCGGAGGAGAATCCACTTAAGCGACGAAACGTGTGTGTGGGGGGTGTGAGATAAACTGCCACCACCACGAACAGAGGTACCTACCTATTCACCGCATTTCCATCCGTTTCAGTCATTCGAGAAAAGAGTTCTTCCAGTTGGCAGGCTGCCACGCTGGCACGGCGCATCCGCCGCTGCACGCCGATGGGCAAGCACGGGAGGGTATGTTTCGATCGTGCCAAGTGACTTGCAGCAAGGCCCGTTTTCGCGTCCCTTCATTTCTCAAAAGCCTCGCCCACACCGGCTGAGGCACCTCCACATGAGGAATATGTGAAGGAAACGCAACACGTCAATCCACCGGGGAGCCGCGGAAGCATCTCCGGCTTCTAATTTCGATTTTGAGCACATTCGGCCTCGCCGACGCGCGCGCAGACTTGTCCACAGTACTGATAAATTACCCCACGCTCCCCCGCGCCGAAAAATTGACCGCCGTGTCTGCGCGCCGCGGCACGGCATGAGAGGAGGGCAGGCAGGCAGTTTGAATATGAAGACAATGTAACCCAGCGATTTGCCGGGAGCAAAACGACAGTTGGGCGTCCATCCGGCAAGGCCTATCACAGTCGTTTTCGGCAAGGCCGAAGACGCAGCCTTGGCCTCCCACCCCACCGCGTCCCGCAACGGTCGCTCGTCTGCGTCTGGGGGAAAAAAGGAGAATAAAAAGGAGGGGAAAAAAGCAGGTGGTCGGCTGGCTCTATCCGGCCTTCGCGGCCCCGAAAGCAGGGCGGACTGTTCTATGCACTCGGGCAAACAATACACTGTAGAGGTTGTTGTGTAGGAGAGATCCTGAGGGCGGGCGCAGCTTGGCCTAGCAATTTCCCGCATGCGACGATGCCAGCAAAAACAGGCAGCTAGCTTCCCGGTCGCCGGTCCAAACACGTACGCTCATTATAGCTGCAGCTCTTTGGGGTAAATCCAGAAACTCCGATGACTGCTGTTACAGTCGGGGTGCAGAGGGCGGGGCAGCACAATGTGGCTGTGAACTTTGCGACTCTGGCCAGGAGGCGGGACGCACACATGTAGTTGGCAGCCAAAATGTACGTCACAGTGCCAACTGTCGGTGTGAAGCACGTAGGTATTTGCAGGTTGCAGCCATGTGTGTGCTATTCGCGGCGAGCACACGCATCGTGATTGCTGGCTCCTCATGCGGGGGACGTTTGTGTGGCGTATCAAAGATGGAGAGATGGAGAGCGCGGCGCCCTCGCCATTGGAGCCGCGTCGAGGAGGGGGAGGGGCATTCCGCGATAAATATGGGTGGTACATCGGGGCGTACTGTAAATGGCGGTGGACAAACACAACCTTGTTTACTGGTTCCGGCCCAAGATTCACGGAAACTTGCCAGGTTGGTATGAGCTTCCATGCACCGAATGTGTTTCTTCGCCCGATAGGTAGGGCAGATCCCTAGTAGGTACCTAGCTGCCACGTGCTGCGACTGGCCGCGTGCTTGCATTGGACGAAGTGACGACAAGAACCCCCCCCCCCCCCCCACCACATGACTGTCACGAACAGAATCCCGCGTGTGCTTTTTTTCCTTCCTTTTCTTTTCTTTTCTTTTCGGGGCAGCGGCTCCCTGTGAACTAACAATGCAACCGTTGAGGTGTGCATGCAATGATCGCCAACCTGAAAACGATTCCCTGGACCAACCCCGCCAGCCTATGGCTTTACTGTCAATGGCGCACTTACACATACCTACACATTGGGTGGGAAATGACGGGATTGTGTGAATGCTTCAGAAGCAGGCGCGGGATTCACCGCCAGTTGGTCCAATACCTTCCCGCCCTCCATGGGCGACGCAGGTTGGCACCACATAAAGTGCATACGCATCTTGGGGGATGTAGGTTAATCCCCAGCGCAGGCGCCATTGCATTGTGGACTTTGACCGCTAGGTACAGTGGTGTAGGCACATGTGCCTTGTGGTCAAACGCGAGCACACCAGCCCAGGTGCCAATTGGGCTGCCCCGCCCGGTGCCATTTGGGCTGCCCCGTCCGGTGCGCGTGAACAGGCGGGTTCGTTGATAAACTAACCCCTTCGGATTTTAAAAACTACAAACCGAAAGAAGAAGTACATTTGATTCCATCACGGGTTCCAGGAAAAAATGAAGAAAACCCCCGCCTGGTAAATAACAATGCTTTGCTCCCACGCCTAAACCCCGTGCTTGAAGGCGACGGCGATAAGTATAATAAAAAAGATTGGGGGAAATGTCGAAAAGCGAACCAAAAAAAAATATCGTTTGTTGGGTAATGAGCAGAATCCGAGCATTTATTTTTGGCTGCCTGTAAAGCCGTTATTCGTCCAAGTCATTGAAGAAGAAGTCTGACTGGGGATCTCGACAAGGCGGGTCACTATCTTCAGCCCATCGTCGTTGAGAAACTCTGCGATACGAGAGGCTTGTAGGGATGCGGCATCGACAGCTGGTGTTGTGGGAAGCGAAGCGGTCCTGGCATGAGCATCACGACAGGTAAGCAACAGGCGAGGCAGGAAGAGTGCCATGTTGGGAGGGGGCTGCGCCGGTAAAGGGACAAGACATGGACAGTAGCCGGCAAGGCAAGGAGGCAGAAGGGTCACAAACACGCTGCTAGTGCTAGGGTTAACGACTAGGGAGGTGGAATTGCTAGCCATGTTGACAAGATCAAGCAGTCGGGGAGTAGGCTTGATGGATGGGTTGAGGCGTGTTGGTAGTATGAATAATTTAGAAGGGAGCTAGCAGACACGACTTGAAAGGTTCAGGCTGGGCGACTGGGTTCGGGCGAGGATACCTAAACAAGGAGAACAGCGAAAAGAAAAGGTCGGGGTACCCAAAGGTTTTATACACGAGCACCAGAGCCAGAGAAGCGAGGAAAGCATCACAAGAGCGTGCGGTTATAACGAGTGTGGAAGGAGTAAGGTTGGCGACAAAAGAGCTTTGGTAGGGGCGTGGGATGCACCACACCCTGTTGCTTTATGAGGAGGTGGGGTGTCGAGAGGGGGACGTACTAAAAACAAGGCAACTTTAACGAGGCAGGTTCCTGATGAGGCATGGGCCCCTGTGTTGATGCCGCCCGCTGTCAAGTGCGTGCTAGCACTGGGTAGAGGTAGTTCGCGGACGAGAAGAAGAAAGGTTGCTCGCTTTTGGACAAAAATACCGTAAGATCTGGCGGCATCCGAACACCGCACCTACTACCTGCAGGGGTGAAAGTGCACCTTTTTCCTCATACAGTTGGTGGGAGGGGCGGGGTGGCCTCCCTGGGGCAGGGGTTTTGCGTTGCTAATATCGAATCCGCACTGGTGTGCCTTGAGGATGGGTCAAGGTAAGGAAAAAAAAAACGTTTTAATTTTTGCGCCTGTAAACTGTCTTGTCTTTTTCTTGGTGCTATGGGATAACAGTGTTTTCAATATTGTGGGCACTGTGTGGCAGGTGGAATGCCAGGTCCGTTTCTGGGCTGTCGTGGTATTAGGCCTATTGAAGCTGGGGCTGCCGAGCGGGGCTCGCGGGAACACCATCCAATATCAATCTCCACGAGCCGTGCAGCGCTGGTATTGGATAATAAAAGTGCCCCTGGAGGGATGGGTAGCAGCCTGTAGGTGGTATTGGGGGGGTGCGGAAGGGGCCAACACACCTACAGTCGGGTGCTTTACCATGCCGCCGAGGTCCACTTACCTGCCGCCGAGGGGCCGGCCACATTTGGACCACACTTCGCCGCCCTTTTTCGACTGCAGGTTTAAAAAATTCGCTGGATGCCTTCTTCCACCGAAATCGTTCACCATTCCGATGGTGTCTTCTGCACATACCTTGGGTCATGTTGGCCATTTCCGTCAGTCCCCACCCAAGAGGCTACACACCTATCCACTGCGCCAACTGCACCTGTTGTGCTGTACAGCAACCCCTTAGTCCGGCACCCAGTTCCCGATCTTCGTTTTTTGTTTCCGCGAATTACTGCCTGCGCGCGGATACAAGCAAGCGATATGGGTGCCCAAACGTGTTGCTATGTAGTCCCTTTAAGTGCCGTTAAACCTAGCTATCCGAAAGAGTAAAGGTGTTCAAAGAATTTACCTCTGAAAAAAAAAAAAAAAAAAAAAAAGGAATTGGCCTCTTAACGCTGAAGCGGCTGGGGGTTCCACGGCGGTCAAATCAGACAACGGGGCCGGAGGACGGCACCTATGTAATAAATACCTTTGCCTTGCGGGTTGCAGTTGCATATGACGTACTCGTAGGGGGGGTGAAGCGCCGAATTCTCGGGGTCTAGAGTGGTGCAGGGATCGAAGCGTAGTGGCTCCACACTCGTCGGCCTTTGTGCAACAAGCGGGAGGGGTGGGGGGTATATGGATTTAGGCCGACGCCTAGCAAGGTTTGTCAGCTGCGCTCTCCTTGGATGGGGCCCTGAGTCAAAGACAGGGCAAGGGAAGATTCCATGCACCTTCGTACCACCGGCGAACCCAGCCACTCACACACTAGTTGTTGGCTGCGCTCTCTTTAATTTGATTTTCTTGCATTTAAATCTTAAGGAGCCCCATAAGGCTAGCAAGACAATCCGACAGCGGCGCCCGGGAGGGGTGGATATAAAGCTATAAAGCAGAAGGCCTTTTAGGACGGGCGGGGGCATGTCCGACTGTTGTCCATGTCATGCGTCCACATACACGCTCGTTGCGATGCGTGTTATCGGGGTGGAAGCGTTCCGACCCCCTCATATCAAGAGCCGCCTCAGTTGCTGCTACATGGAAGGAGCCCAGCCAAGGGAGCAGATCAGATCAGGCCCCACCAGAAAAACAACCGAAACGCGGCTGCGGGAAACATGCTGGACAAAGATCGAGAATGCCGCTTGCATCACAGCACGCACTTGGCCGCGCGAGGGCAGCAGGCGAAGGGCCAGATCCCGGACGGTTCGCACTTACGCACTCTGCTTTTTTTTTTTTGACTTGGTGGAATGCTTGTCGCGAAGCACAGCCTCGCTACGTAAACCCAAAACGAGATTCACCGCCTTAAGGCCAGTTTTGGGTGGATGGGAGTGGCTTGAGGGCTGTGGCGCCTGCTTTGGTAAGCGTGTTTGTTTGGCCGAAATAAAGGTGCGGGCGATGTGTGGTGTGGGGAAAGAAGTGGTATGGGAGGTAGTTTTTGGGTTTGTCGGGTCCGACCTTAAAAATTGGAAGGATCAGCTTTTGCGTGCAAGGGTCAGCAAATCCATCTCCCCCCTTCTCACCTAACCGATGAGACGGCTTTTCTTCTTTCTTTTTGTGAAGGAGCTGCATTATGGATTAAAAATGCCTTGTTTTGTTTAACTGTAGAAATACGCGTATTATACAACAATAACTCGCTCGAATAGCTTTGACTCCAGGCTGTTGGGTATCAATGCACGTAACGTGGTGAGAATCGGTAGTCTGGAAAAAAGGTGTCGTATAGCGGCCCAACGCGTTGAAAGCTATCTAGTGGGGGCGGGGCGCCCGTGCGGGGCCTTAATCAGGTGACGCGGAGTCACGTGGTTGCCCACGTGACCTCCCGAGTTTCCTATCGAAGACGATCCCTCGTCGCGGCCCTAGTGGCCGTGACATTGGGGATAACAGTGTGTTCCGAACCGAGAAAGAAAATACAAAGCGCGATATAACAACACAACGTGGAATCTGGGGAGAAATGCTTATTTTTTATCGCCCATAAAAACATTTGTCGTCAAGGTTGTGGACGCGGTCGGACTTTTAAGGCCGGCCATTCGAGCTACTATATCCAGCCCAGTGTCGTTGCAGAAGGCCCCGATACGGGAAGCCTGTAGCGATGGGGCAATGGCAGCGTGTTCGGCGGGGCGTTCGCCGGCCCTAGTATAAGCATAGCAACGTGTAAGCGGCAGGCGGGATAGGAAGGGCGACAAGGGCTTAACCGTAGCTCATATCATGGGGAGGAAAGGGGAGGAAATATACAGGCAGAAACAATAAAAGAGGAGAAAAGGCTGACGAACACGCTGCTTGTGCTAAAGCTCACGACCAAAGAGCTCGACTGGCTATTCATGTTGAAGGCAACGGCAGGAGGACGTGCGACTAATAAACGAAAGGGTGGCGACGATATGGGATTTCTTGAGCAAGCGTGGGGATATCGAGGTAGAGCGGAGGTGGTAAGAACAGATGAGGGCGTGGATGAGGATGAACAGCAGACACGCAAAATATGTCGGGGCATCTTAGCTCTTTATATGCTCAAAGGACTTGGAAATGCGGCAAAGATTGTGATGCGAGCGCAGCAGTATCAAGGACCTGGGCGGTCGCTGGGGAGGGGTGGTGCATGGAAAACAAAGGGTGTGAGGAAGGAAAATACGAAAGTGCGGTTGGGAACCACGCGAGGAGGGAGGCAACCGAACATGGATGGGGCTAAGCTTGGCCCTCCGTTAGGTCGGCGAGCAGTTTGAGCAGGAACGTTGGAGGGCGAAAAGCGGCAAAGTCTCGACAGGGAGTCGAGCAAGGTTGTGGGAGCGAGAGAAACTGTGTAAAAATCCTACCTGTGGAAGCCATACTCGAGAATCGGGCGCCACGGCGTAGCAGCAAAGGGGAATTGGTGGGGAGGGCGGGTGTGCTTGTAAGGGTGTGCTTGTAAGGGTGTGCTTGTATTAATGCTTGTAGTGTTGCGGTGTTTAAGGACGGACTTAAAGCTGCCATAATAATTAAGTGCATGGTGCACCCAGCCAATGGCGGGCGACGGGAGTGAAAAAAACCGGGGTGTTCCAACAACACGCGGTGTTCGTGCCGTCAGCGGACGGCCGAGGAGGGGTGGTGTGAAGGGGGGGGGTCTCACTAAGGGAACTACACTTATACCTACCTACCTAAGTACCTAGCGTCTGCTAGGATAGCGCCATGGATTAAAACCAAATCGCCAAATCAAGTAAGCTATTTACTTAGCCACACCCCGTCCATTGCCGGTAACCCAAGTATCCCGATCTTTTGCGGTATGAGGGTGAGGAGGCTGTACGCTGTACGATTGCATCTTTGCGGGTTCTCGACCGACGTATCCTCCGCCTGCCCGCGTTGCATGCGAACGCGTGCAGGGGCTGTCTTGAAGGGCGCGGTCGTGTTGGGAAGCGGGACATGGAGACGGGACCTCCAGTTACATGTTACTCTTGGAGAAGGGGTAAGTCACACCCAACCTACTCGGCAACCTGTCCGGACGGGAGCGCCCAGGAGTGGTGTCCATTGGGACGGTGGGGTGCGCCATCTTAAGCTTGGAATGGTCCGCCCGTGGGTGTGTGCATCTGTGCAGTTGGCTTGCAGCTGTTGGTGTAGGTCAAAGCCGTTGCCTTATTTTTCCAAAGCTTGCCCAAAAAGTAGTGGTTTTTTTTCAGCTCGTTTGCTTTTCCATGTAATTAATGTTGCCCATTCTTCGTTTTTTTTTTTTTTTTTTTTTGGCTTGCTACCCAACGGAGGAACAGGGGGTTCGGGAAATTGTGGGACGAATGCTTTTGGCATGTCCTCGGCGCAGTGTTCCCCTCGACAGTGGATAAACGAGGTGCCGCCCGTACCACTACGCGCATTTGACCGCGTGAGGACGGGGTGACGCACTTCACTTGTCGTTTTCAAAGACCCCAGTTAGTCATCGCCTACCCCCCGCCCGTCCTTCGCTTGTCCTGGTGGGGTGCATGGCATCTGAGGTACCCCTGGTTGTCAAGCCTCGCCAATCAATTTGCCCACCTCCATCTGATCCCATCTGGCAAAAGGCCAGCGTGCGCGATGACCGCCGGTTCGGGACAAGCGTTATCTGCGGCGCAGTGTTGTGCTAGTTTCCCGGCCCTTGCTTCGGAGGGTGCTCCGGAGGGCGCGCAGTGGTCGTCCCATTCGTGCTCCTGGTTGGTTGTAAAAATAAAATAAAATAAAAAGCCCGCACGCAGATGCTGTTGACCTAATGCCATCCGCCTTCTCGTTGTCTGCTGCGCTGGCTGCTGGCTGCGCACACCCCCCTCCCTCCCCTTTCCGTCCCGCGGTTGGTTGTAATATTTTTGTGTGTCGCTGCAACGGCAAGGTGCTTGCTGCAGCCAGAACCAGATCCAGCCAGAGTCGTGCTGTTCGGGCTACTCCCCTCCCTTCCTTCTTCCCACTCGCCGATAAACCCTGCCTTAAGCCTCGGGCGACATCCAGGATGATCATTTTTTTTTTTTTTTCTTATTTCTCTTTTCTTATTTCTTTTTTTTCCTCCTTCCCCCCGGTTCCCTCCCCCCCCCCCCCTTCCTTTTTTTCTTTTCTTTTT